GCATACCCCCCCCCCCCTTTCCCGTCCCGTAGGAAGGTAGGAAGGAACGATTGGCCATCGGTGATCAGTCCTGTCGGAACAATTCTCCGTCCTATCGAGGACGCGTGGTCAATGGTCTAACCGCTAAGGCATGAGGCATGCAAAACATAAAGAGTACGCCCCACCCCCCCCGTCCCGGCCTTGAAGGTATGGGAGGTCAATATCCTAATGACTACGACATGCACAACTATTTGTACACCCCCACCCCCCCGTCCGTGTCTGGCTATTGTCGGTTGTAGGCTACGGGGGTGCCGATCATGGTGAAGGACGTAAGTTTCATAGAACACGAGCGAGCATGTGGGGGTGTGATGTCGTTGCCGTCGGCACAATGGCATGCCGTCAGGGAGAGAGAGCTCTAGATGAAACTGGTGGGGGCTAAACGGGGGGCTCAGAGCGCGCTGGAGGTGTCGAACTCAAGCGCGCGCATGACCAAAGCATCCGTCAAAACACAAAATGACTTCTGCTATTAACGTCCACCCGCTTCGCTGACTTACACTACTCCGGTTTCGGACGACGTCAGTACGTCGTCGTCTTAAGTGCTGCAGCCGATGGCGGTGGGACGCCGCGCGGCGCTCTCAGTTTTGCCACTCGTTTTCGCGATGTTTGGTCCGTCGTCCTGCTTTCAGGTGCAACTGGTGTTGCCACGTAACCTTTTTGTTTCACCGGCGTTGATACCGTCTCCCACGGCTCCGACTGTTTGTGCCGTCCTCCAAGGTGGGGTGCCTGTCGATCGACCGTCGGGGAGAGCTCCTGGTCACGGGGGATGAGTCGGGGGCTATCTGCGCCCGCCTTCTACACCACTCGGGTAACCGGAGCGGCGATGGCACGGCGTATGGAAGCAGCAGCTTCGAGGGAGGACCAAGCGGCGGCGGCGGCGGCGGCGGTGTTGCGGAGGTGTTGCGAGAGGCGCACAGCGGGGAAGTTCTCGCGATCAGCCACGTCGAGGGTGGGGCAGGGGATGATGACCCCGCCCTGTTTGTTTCGGGCGGCAAAGGTGACGAGGACAAGCAGGGGATAGATCTTTCCGCCATGGCTTGTTGCCGGGGGGCAAAAGCGAGCAGACGGGCCGGGTGAGGGCTGCCTATGTCTCGTGGATGCTTGTCAAGTCGACGCTCTCGGCGAAAGAACCCAATCTTGCTACAAGACCTCGCTTGGGGGGACTTGTCACAAACCTCGTGTGTCTGGTGTGCTACGGAGGCAGTTGCGACGCACGATCCTAGAAACTTGACGCTAAGGCCTCACCCAGCCTCTGCTGCGTCCACCTCCACCCCCGGCGAAGATCGCGGGGCCCCGTAAATTCCGACAACTCATACCCCGGCCGACTCTCAGAAAAATGTGTTTCGTTCCGACGAAGACCTGTGGACATCCATCGTTGTTTGGCCGCCTCCTCTATTTTACCGTCGAAGCAGGCGGTGTCGTGCGGCTATGGAAAGCGGCGTGTCTGGAACGGAGCCGAGAAACTGCCGCCGCCGGGGGGAGTGGGGGCGACTTGGAGGTCCAGGTGGAGCTCCTCAAGGACATGCTTGTCGGAGGATTCCAGGTGCTGCGGCACTATTGTGCTGCCCCGGTCTTTGCTCTAGCGACGAATGTTGGAATACCAAGCTGGCTTTGTCAGTTTCTTGTGTTTGGTGATGCTCAAGTCTTGTAGCCGGGGGAATTCGCGATTCGGATGAACTTTTCGGGGTGCCTGCCTTCTCTCTGCGTGGCCTAAATAGCTCCAAGACGTCCTCGAGAGGAGAGTACGATGTCTCCAGGTGGCGTACACTAACGAATGACCTGGGGGAAAGTATCGCACGACATGCACATACATACGTCTGTGATTCGGTAGCGCACTGCCGTTCAACCGCTGACACCGTCAACGTTGCTCGCTACCGGAAGTGCTGTGCCTGGCATTCCCCCCCTCGGCGGTGGTATAGACTGGTCGCCGCGGTGGTCTAGTGGTATCCTCGTAATCCGCTAGTCGCAGAGGTCGTGAGTTCGAATCCCCATAGGGTGAAAAATTTACGAAATTTGCGGGTGAAAGCGAAATATAGCTAAAAAGCTCTCGTGAGTACCAAACTTCGACGTTAGCACCGTTGACGAGGGAAAGGGACGGCTGGACCCTTCTCGCGATAAATATAAAAATTCACCACGCACCGCCGGAGGAAGGTGGGGCATGAAAAGAAAAAAAAGAAGGAAAAAGCCCCGGTGTTTACCCCCTCCTGTGTGACCCCGGATGGTTGTAGTTGTGCGAAAAAATACACTGAAAAGTGTAGTACACGTCTCACCACGAAAAATGGAGGGACTGTCGCCACAATAAATAGGACGAAAACACAACACACACATACCGGGGCCGGACATCGCCACTTGCCCATCCACCTGGTCTCTCCATCCCGTTTTTCGTCTAATTCCCCTCCCCGCTCCTGCCCCCCCCCGCCCCCGCCCCAAAGGTGTCATGCCTTGCGGCTTCCCTGTCGCCAACGGTACCAATCGTGCTCGCCGGAACCGCCGAGGGCACGGTGTTTGCGTTCCACCTTTTGCAAGCCCAAGAGCCGTCCGACCGAAGAGATGGCGAGGCAGAAGACGACCGGCCGGCCGTCGGCTACGGCGATAGAGGCGGCCGCGGCGGCAGTGCTGCATCCGGCCGCGAGCCGCCGGACGACGCGGTCGGCAGGACAGAGCTGGGCGCCGTGCTGATGAAGTTCGAGCACACCTCGGAGCCCATCGAGGGGGTCTGCTGCAGCCAGGAGCAGGTTGGTGCAGTTTTTTCTCACGACGGCCCGTGTTGTCTTGTCTTGCGTATCGGGTGCGGGTTCTTGACAGTGTAGCTGTCGTTTTGTACCCGGTAGGACACCATGTTAGGCCCGGTGTAAGAAAGTTTCTTGACAGTAGTGTAACTGTTGTTGTACCTGTCGGTGTACGTAAGCGTCATATCGCGGGCCCCGGGGGAAGGGACGCTTGAGCGCGAGTTCGTTGGTGCAAGGCGCTTGCCACCAAGGAGCGACGTCGTGTCCACACCGCACTACCTACTCTTTGCGCGGTGTTGAACCCGAGCCAGCCAGCTGCTGTCAGGCCCTCGTCCTCCCTTTCTCCAGAATGGTCGGCTCAGGTTGGTCAGTAAGGGCGGCGTCAGCTACGCCGGGGTTTCCACCCCCAAGATTGTCAACCGGCACCGGACCCGCCGCCTGTTTTTTCCTCGCCAGATCTGCTTGCTGTCAACGCTCGACGCTCGCATGCTTTCACCTCGCTTCGGGAGAACCCCCTCATGTATGCAAGCAGCCCGTGGTCGCAATCCTGGTGCACAGATGCCTCTCAACATACAGAGCAGACCGCGGTTTTCCTATCCCCTTTGGTCTTATTCTTCATCTCGTGCTATATCCCGCCCCTTGTCGCCAGGAGCTGATCGCTGCTACAGACGCGGCCGGCATTGTAAGGACATACCGACCGCTCCTCCCCCGAAGGGTATCCACAGATAACAACCCTGGCGATGGTGCGCCGCCGACGACGGCAGCAGCGGCCGAGGCCCGGCGGTTCGAGCTGGTCGTGGAGTGCCGCCTGGGAGCTCGCCCGGTGTCCTGCGAATTTGGGTCGGGGCCCCGGGGAGTGGAGAGCGGTGGTGTGCGGCGGGGGGTGGGGGGGGAGGGTGAGGTTCTTCGGACGTGCACGGCGAGGGGGATCCTTCGTCTCTGGCTGACGGCCTCACTGCCCACGCGCCCGATGAGACCACCCCGCCCGTCGGCACCAACCCGCCTCCCGGATGACCACGAAGCTCTAGCGCCGCTTCCGCATACCTCGAACGCTGGCACGGACAGCAGCAGCGGCGGCGGGGGCGGCGGCAACAAGAATCCCGAGATGCCGCACGCTGCAGCGGCGGCGGCGGTCGGGGCCGAGCAGGAAAACCGAGACCCGTCTGACCCTTTCTCGCGATCGACGGCGATCGATGCCACGGGTAGCGGCTCTGGCGTAGTGGGAGTTGGTGGGGGGGAGCGGGGCGAGGAAGTAGAGCTGACCGCGAGAGGAGAGCCGCCCCTTCCCAAGGCGCGCCCGGCCGCGCCGCGCCGCGTCAGCTTCGCGCCGGCGGATCAGGTTTTTGAGCACGATTGTTCCGGACCGTTCTTTGGTAGGGGTGGGTGCGGGATGGTAGACCGGCCTCTTGAGGGCGGCGGTTTGGCCTCTGCTTTTTTGGGGGCTTGATGCCTGATTGGGGTCCCACCTGTGGCACTGTAAGTAAGGCGTGTCGTTTTTGTCGAGACCGTGTTTGGGCTCCTCACCCCCCAACGCCTGTCGCGCCGGACCGTACCCAGTGGCTGTCTTTCGAATGCCGTGTGTGGCGGGGTGTCTAGTTGTGCCGGTTGCGCGAGAACGTTGTGTAACTTCATTACTTTATTTCCAGTGTTGTTCACCAGACGCCATCGAACTCCGCCTTGTTTGGCAAAAGCTAAATAATTGTGCTTGGCAATGCTCTCTTCCTCGACTACTACATTGACGAAACCGTAATGCCCCGACTCGATGTCCTCGTAAACGTAGGCCATTTGTTATCCCTCCGCTAAAGCGACCAACAATGCTCCGTATTCTCAACTACCGCAGGTCTACAAGCTCGAGGACCCATACTACGGCAGCGGCAACAACAACCACCAGCAGCAGGGCGACTGGGAGGATGATGACGACGACGACGGTCAAGAAAAGGATCACGACGAGCTCGAAGCGCCCCGCCCGCCGCCCCCTGCACCAACGCCGATGCGAGCTTCCGGCGCCAACGGGACGCCAGGGCGACTGAGGCAGACGTGGGGCACCTCCACGTCGTCTCCGCGGAGCAATAGAGCCAGGCGAGGCTGTTCGATGGACGCTTCGGATGACGCGTTCGTTGCGCCGTCGAGGATGCAGGAGCCCTCCTTGTGGTCGACTGCGGCGGAGCAGGTTGAGCTTGAGCGGCGGATGACGGAGGCAAGTATGTCGACGTTTTTGGTTTCTGTGCCCGCCACTGTTGATGGCGCCTTTTTTTTTGGTTTTGAGTGCGCGGTCGCACGTCTATCTAGTATCACACGCACCGCTGCAAGCGACAACCAATTTGTCCCGCTGTATCATACCGCCGCCTTGCGCTAACCACAGTTACGCGCCGTGAGTATACCTTAGGTTGTATGACGTAAGATACCACACCCCCCGGACCAATTTCCAAAGCTCGATTACTCCACGAAGAAGAGGATGCCGAAATCAATTGATCCGTGTTCGGAAAGCCCTTGACGAGACGGTTCCAACGCCACCTTTTTCGGCACCGACGCTGCTTTTCCTGCCGAGTAGTCCGGCTTGGATGATCGGTCCAGGGGGGGGGTGATGTCTCGTGGAACCTACAGTACACATTGCACGCAGCAGTCGGTGCGGACGCGGGTTGAGAACCACACGTTCGTACCATTGTTGGATGTTGTTCACCGTTGTACACGCACGGCTTTCGGTGCACAGCGCACGTACCGCTGGACAGTATCACCTACCCTGGACCGATTTTCAAGGCTCGATTACTCCACAGCAGAAGAGTGTAGCGGTGCCCTAGATCGCGGCATTGGAACCGTCTCATCGGGAGCCCTCCGTTTAGCTACCGTCGTGGAGAAGTAGCTGATCTTCGAAACCGGTACAAGGGGTGCGGTATCTTACGTCACGCACGGAAGGCTTTAGCACGTTTTGCATACGTTGCACATTGTTGATGTCGCACCCGGTGCTGTGTCGCACTGCATGTCGTGTCGTAGTGGCACGTTGTTCAAGTCAGAGTCTAGTGTATTTTGGCATCGAACTCATGCGGTTGTGCATTCTTCCTCCCATTTGTCGATGACCTTCACAATCATGTCGTGTTTCTTCTGTTGTACGCAGGAATTTGACCAATCACGTCGTATTCCTTCTGTTGCAAGCAGGAGTTTGACGGCGGCGCGGTGCCGGAGCCGGCCGCTCCCACGTACAGGGCGGCCGCGGCGGCGGCAGTCAACATCCACCCCCTGGCTAAGACCTTCGAGGGGCTGGTGCCTGTGTCGCTGGACGCACCGCCACCGAGACCAATGCGGAAGGGCAAGCAGGTGAGATGAAGAAAAGAGAATCAACACGGGGGGGGGG